TTTCCCTCCAAATCTATTATTTTAAATTTAGTTTTAAAAGACAAAACCAGAGAAACTAACCACGAGAGAAGTTGCCATTAGCAACAGTGAAACAATGCCTCAGGATAGCACGCTGCCCTTCCTCTCCAGCAGCAGTCAATCCATCGGGCATATGAGGAATATGACACTGTTAAAGCTAGGGTAAACATCACATTTGACTGGGCTCTGTTTGCCTGGTAAATTGTGTTTGCTGTCTCAGGCTGCTAGAATACTTTAAAAGACTGAAGCAAGTAAACAAGTTTAATTTCATGGGATATAGTTTTTCCATTGAAATCGATTGCGTATTCATCTTCACAGCATCAAATCTAATTTTTAGCTTGATTCCTTTTTTTTTTTTTCTAGAAGGAAAAGGCTGAGGGTACAGGCTGTGCATTTCGTTCTGAAACAAAGAGAAAAGAAAAAAAAAGAGAAAATTCTGAACAAAACACTATCTGCAATATTCTGGAGTTCAGGTTTTTTCCTTTTTCAAAAGTATGTAAGTTTTAGTCTTGCACACACACAACATAGTCACAAACTGTTTTTTGGGTTTTTTTTTATGGTGTCAGTGTTATTTTGGAGCTCTCTAAAATAAATATGCATCCCTCTGATAAAAAGGAAAATAGAATTGTCTTCCTTGGCTAAAAGAAGGTATTTGAAAATTCTTGTGCTTACGTATTCATATTTATTTATAATTATTTTAAAAAAGAGAATTAGAAATACAGTGTCTTTACAAACCAGAGTAGCGTGCTTTGTGTTGTACTCTGGAGATAGAGCTCAGAATTCTAGTTATGTATAAAAATATCTCTAGAAGGAGTGGTGAGAGGGACAAAGCAGAAAACGCATGATATTTTAGTGGAAGGATACTGTACAAAAGCCTTCATGAAAACTCAGTGATTATATGTAAGGCCTCTATAAAAACCTCCCATAAACCCTGCTCTCTACTCAGAGTTCATGGAAACCTAATTAGGGCTGAACTTCGAAAGGTGCTTCGGGATTTAAACAAGCTGTCAGCTATGATATGCTGGCAGAGCAAAACTAATTTTCCCCTACTCATCTTGTTCTCAGCCCTGCTCTGTTAAACTGCTGTTGCCTCACAGCAGGAGACGGAGCAAAGGAGCAAGGCCATTCTGCTCCTGAGTATCATCTCAGACTTAGTAAGGAGGATCAATATTTTATCACCTATATATATACACACACACACACACACACACGGAATACTGGTGTCTTTCCAGTTCCTATATATTTTGGGAATGAGGTACTGGAGCACATGACTGACCTGCTTCTCCTGCCCAGTTTCCTATTGGAGGTTATGTGAGGCAAGCATTGCCTCTCAGGTTTGTTACTCCACAAAGAGGCAGCTGGGATGTTCTCCCTTGTTACAGCTCCAATGATAAGAAAAAGGAAGGGCTGATCCTAGGGAGAGAGAACAGAATATACTGGTAAGAGGTGAGGATTTGCAAAGCAAGGTACAAGGTAGTGTGGCAATGAAGCTGTGGGTAGAAGGGAGGATTCATAGATGCTAGGGTCAGAAGGGACCTCAATGGATCATCGAGTCTGACCCCCTGCCAGTGGCAGGAAAAAGTGCTGGGGACAGGTGCTTGTCCCGTCTCCTCTTGAAGACCCCCAGGGTAGGGGAGAGCACCACCTCCCTTGGAAGCCTGTTCCAGATTCTAGCAACCCTAACTGTGAAGAAGTTATTTCTGAGTGATGTCCAACCTAAATCTACTCTCTATCAGTTTGTGGCTGGTTTTTCTGGTTATTCCAAGTGGTGCTCTGGTAAACAGAGCATCTCTTATTCCCTGCTTCCCCTCCCACCCATGAATTTGTATACTGCCACAAGATCCCCTCAGCCTTCTCTTGTGGAGGCTTGAAAAGGTGCCGCTCTGTAGCAAGGCACTAAGGTGCCTGCTACTTGTAGAGCAGAGATAAACACCCAGGTGCAGGTTGCTAGGACAACTGGTTAATGAGGGGATTGGCCACATCTGCTCCTGGTCAGCTGGCTGGAGGAGGCTGGGCCCTAGTCCTGTATAAACCCCAGGGCTGAGGCCAGGCAGGCAGTTTGCTGCCAGCAGCCAAGGGGGGAGGCACAGAAGGGAGAGGCCAGACTGCAGGTATGGCCCTGAGATTGGGGAAGGATGGAGCACCCCTGGTGTGACTGGAATAATGTTATAGCTGGGTGGCTAGGATTTATGTTATAGCGCAGGGGCTTGTGTTTTGTTTGCTGTTTTTACCGGTGGCTTGGGTGAGGCTATTAGGGGATGGAGGAGGCCTTGTTTTGGGGACCCATTATGGAGTGGGAACCCCAGTGCCAGCAAGGGTGCAGTTTTGGGGGCACAGACCCCAGCACCAGTAAGGGCACAGCTTTTGGGGGACACAAACCCCAATACTCTAAGGACTATCTTAAAAAGGCCAGGGAGGCCTGGTGCACTAGAGTGCAGTTGTATTTTGTTTTTTTTTCTTGTTTGGACTGACAGGGTCGGGTTCAGGGTTGCGCCCGGTTTTGGGCCCGGGGCCCTCTGGTTGTGGGTCCGGCTCCTGTGCCTCTGGGCCGGGGAGTGCCGGGCTCCAGAAGGGAGCAGGAAAGGGGGCCACGAGCAGGGGGGCCACGAGCCTCCAGGCACTGGAAGGAAAAAAAAGTTAGAGCCTCGGAGTCAAACCCTGTTTAGTGGGTTTGGATGGGGAGGCCTAGCCAGAGAAAACAGGGTTCTGGCCATAACAGGAGAGACCCCAACATACCCAATATATTAGGCAGTCTCCTGCTTGCATATACAACATTTTCCATCAAGATGTGGCAGGAAAAATTAGGGCAGGACTGAAGAATTCCAAAGCAGGCTACAAGGGCGCCCCATGTAAGGCACGGATAACCAGAAAGATGGCACTGGGGAAGGCAACCTGTTAAAAGGTCCCTCAGCCTTTCTTCATAAGGCCTTCCCTGCAGGTCTCTAACCATATGAGTGGCCCTCCTCTGGACCCTCTCAAGGTTGTACACATCCCTCTTGAATTGGGGCGCCCAGAATTGGATGCAGTACTCTAGCTGTGGCCTGACCAGTGCCGCATAGAGGGGAAGTATCACCTCCCTGGACCTGTTCGTGATGCACCTACTAATGCATGACAAAGTGCGGTTAGCTCTACTAATTACTGCGTAACATTGATGACTCATATTCATCTTGGAGTCAGCAATGACTCTGAGATCTCTTTCTGCCACTGTGCTGCTCAGAAGGTCATCCCCAAGCCTATAGGTGTGCTGGTGATTCCCTCTCCCTAAGTGCAGCACCTTGCACTTGTCCTTGTTGAACTACATCCTGTTGTTCTCTGCCTACTTCTCTAACCTGTCCAGGTGTGCCTGGATTCAGTTTCTTCTCATAAGTGTATTTGCTTTGCCCCATAGTATGGTGTCATCTGTGAATTTGGACAGGGTACTTTCCATGCCCTCATCCAGGTCACTGATGAAGATATTGAATAGCACCAGCCCAAGGACCAAGCTTTGGGGGACCCCACTGCCCACATCTTTCAAGGTTGATACCGACCCATCCACCACCACTCTCTGGGTACAACCCTTAGGCCAATTTGCCACCCACATGACTATGTAATCGTTTATGGCACAGCCGTTCAATTTGTTTGTAAGAGTAAGATGGGATACTATGTCAAAGGCCTTCTTAAAGTCCAAGTAGATGACATCTACCTCAACTCCCGCATCTAAGCATTTAGTGATCTGGTCATAGAAAGAAACAAGGTTAGTCAGGCAGGATCTTCCTGTTATGAACCCGTGCTGGTTGCCCTTCAGCATTATATTACCCACTGGACTCCTACAAATGTGATCCTTGATAATTTTTTCAAGGGTTTTCCTAAGGATAGAGGTGAGACTAACCAGTCTATAGTTACCCGGATCCTCCTTCCTCCCCTTCTTGAAAATAGGGACCACATTGGCCCTTTTCCAGTCCTCTGGGACCTCACCTGAGCACCATGAGTGCTCAAACAGTTGTGCCAGTGACTCTGCTATGACACTGGCTAATTCCTTCAGCACCCTTGGATGGAGCTCATCTGGTCCCACTGATTTAAACAAATCCAGCCCCTCCATGTGTCTCTTTACTAGGCTGGTGCTGACAGTCGGTAGGCTGGTGTTTCTTGTGCTTCTGTCAGTAATGCACTTGGGAGATTTCTTTGGATCTAAGTTCAAGAATACAGAGGCAAAAAACTCATTGAAGAGCTCTGCTTTGTCCCTCCTATCTGTCACCAACTGCCCTTGTCTATCCTGTAGGGGTCCTAAGCTGCCCTGCTACTTCTTTTTGCTCCCTATATACCGGAAGAAGGACTTTTTGTTGTCCTTAATTTTTGTTGCCATCCTGAGTTCTAATACTGCTTTGGCCTTCCTAACTGATTCCTGGCAAGTGCAAGCCAAGGAGGTATACTCCTCCTTGATAGCTATGCCCTCCTTCCACAGCCTATATGCCCTTTTTTTTGCCCTTAGGCTTTCCTGGATTTCCCTGTTTAGCCAGGAGGGTTTCTTGGCCCCTTTGCCTGATTTTCTATGCAGTGGGATTGCCTCCTTCTGCACCCGAAGAATCAACCACCCTTCCTAGACCCCCATTTTGTCAATGCTCTTGAGCTTTAATGCCTCACTAACTAATCTCTTAAGCACACTGAAGTCAGCCTTTCGGAAGTCTAACACTTCTGCCCTGCCCTGCTGGTTACTTTTCCCACCCTTCAATTGATGGTCACTATCCCCTAGGTTGCCTTGTACCTGCAGATCCCCCACCAGGTCGTCCTCCGTAGCCAGCGCCAAGTCCAGCAAGGCATTCTCCCTAGTGGGATTGTATACCTCCTGCATTAGGTGGAGGTCCTGTATTCAGGTTAAGAACCTACGTGAATGATTAGTTCTGGCTGACTGATCCTCCCAGCTGATGTCAGGGTAGTTTAGGTCACCCGTGACAACTGTATCTCTTGACTGTATAGCCTCTGAGAGTTGCCTGGAGAATTTCAGGTCTAGCCCACCCTCTTGGTATGGTGGTCTATAGTAGACCACCCCCACCCACTACCAAGTCCCTTTCCCCCTGACCTCCTTGTATCCTAACCCGCAGTACCTCAGTTTGGCCCTCCTCTGATCCCATCTTGATTATAGAAGATGTATATTGCTCCTTAACATAGAAAGCAACACCCCCCACCTTTTTCCCCCCTCTATCTCATCTGTGAAACCTATAACCTTCAATGCCTACTGCTCAATCATGAGTAGGGTCCCACCAGGTTTGTTAGCCAAACCAAGTCAAAGTTGTTGCTTGCAAGCACAAGTGCAAGTTCCTCCTGTTTGTTCCCCATGCTTGTAGCATTAGTGTAGAGACATTTAAGCCCCTCAATGGGTGCTCTTGGTACCCCGCTGTCCTGATGTTTATTGGGCCCCTTAGTGCTTACCTGGGCTGATCCAGTGCATGGCTCATGGTTCTCTGAACCTAGGTTCTCATTGTCCACTGCATCCTCATCCCCTGAAGAAACTAATTTGAAGCCCTTCAGAGGAGATCAGCCAACCTGTAAGAGAACAGACTCTTACCTTTAGAAGAAAGATGAAGACCATCTCATCCCAGGAGACCTCTCTCATAGAAGTGTGGATCATGGTTGTAGAAGCCAAAACCCACACGATTGCACCAACTCCAGAGCCGCAGGTTGGCTGGCTTCTCTGATGCAGGAATCTTGGTGTTGACGGTGACTGCTGACCAGGAGGATCGATGAGAAGACCACCTGTGGCCCCAACTTCCTAAGCCTGGTCCTCAGAGCCTTGTAGTCACTTATGTTGCAGTCCAGACTATTCCTGGCCACATCATTCATGCCCACATGAATGAGGCCCATGGGATAGTAATCGGAGGGCTGAATGAGGTCGGGAATTCTTGTAGTGATGTCTTGGATCCTGGCACTGGGCAGGCAGCAAACCTTCCATGCTGTGGGATCCGATCGAGAAATAGGCCCTTCCATGCCTCTCAGGAGGGAGTCACCCACCATGATGACCCAGAGTCTGCCCAGTTATTGCTCATAGTTATAGTAGTAGCTAGGGTCAGGAGGGACCTGAAGGGATCCCCCCCCCTGCCACAGGCAGGAATGAATGCTGGGTTCGCAAGACCCCAGACAGGTGATCATCCAACCTCCTCGTGAATTTGCCCAAGGTAGGGGTGAGGACCACTTCCCTAGCAAGTTGGTTCCAGATTTTGGCTACCCTAACTGTACAATATTGCCTTCTGATCTCTAACCTAAACCTATTCTCCATCAGTTTATCACCATTGTTTCTTGCCACCCCAGGTGGTGCTGGGGAGAAAAGGGCTCTGACTATTTGCTGTTGATCTCCCCTGATGAGCTTGTAGGAAGCCACCAGGACCCCCCTCAGCCTCCTCTTGCTGAGGCTGAACAGGTTCAGGTCGTTCAGTCTCTCCTCATACGGCCTGTCCTGCTGCCCTCTCACCAAGTGTGTGGCCCTTCTCTGAACCCTCTCCAGGCTGGCCACATCCCTTTTGAAGTGTGGTGCCCAGTACTGGATGCAGTACTCCAACTGCGGCCTGACCAAAGTCGCATAGAGGGGGAGT